AGAAGGAAAGGAACGAAACAAACACCTCAAATACAGGGCTTCCCACAGATTTAATTAAAATCTTTAGCATTATAATCTAAGGTAGTCAGGTCATTTTATGGTCAAGGAGTCTGACGTATAAAGAAGTCACTTAGTTTGTGCCTGTCACAGGCCTGCTCAATGTCAGAGTTCATACTCCACCTCAGAGCTGTCTAACTGGAGACACATCTCTGGTGCTAAGGATGTAGTTCAGGGAGTAGATTGCTTGTTACTGTGCAGTAGGCCCTGGGTTCTACACCCAGGGCAAATAATGGTAGGCTTGGTGGCCCACACTTGCAGGCCCAGCACTGGAGATTTGAGTAGGAGGATCAGAAATTGGTAATCTTTGGCAAAGCAAGGAACTCAAGGCCAGCCTGGAATATCTGAGACTTTATATCAGAAAAAGAACAGGGGCTAGAAAAGTGGCAGAGCTCAGGTTAAGAGTATCTGAGTTAGGTTCCTAGCACCCTTACGGCGGCTCACATCCATCTGTTCCAGGAGTCTCAATGTTCTCTTATGACCTCTGCAGGCACCAGGCACACCAGGTGTGCATAAATGCACAGGGAAAAACTCATACAAATTAAATTAAACAGCAACAACAAAGCCAAGAAGCATTTCTTCCCCACTGTCTCACACTGCCTACAAACCTAAAGCTGGCTGGGAGCACAGCTTAGAAGAGGGCTGGAAGGGGTGGAGTTTGCAATGCTTACTTCCATCACTCACACCTCTGGCATCCTCGCACGGGCATACACACCCCCCAGCCCCAGAAATCCCTGGAAACAGCTTGAGGCAGTGCTCAGGGTACGGCTTTTCTCTATGGCACCTGAAAGTATTCTTGCTCTCCAACTCCCCTAAATATACAGTGGAGCAACAAAGGGCATGGTGGCACACACCTGTAATCCCAGCACTGAGGCGACAGAGGCAGGCTGATCTCTGTGAGTTTGAGGCCAGCCTGGTCTACAAAGAGAGTCCAGGACAGCCAGGGCTGCACAGAGAAACCCTGTGTAATCTATATACACATATATATATAACATGCACACACACACATGCATGGAGCTCCACCTCTTGCACAGGAGAGCTCCCCTGCTTTTCTTTTCCAGCTTTCTTGAGGTGTGAGAACTGCTCAGGGAACCTGGAGGCTCTCTCCTAGCTCAGGAAAGCCATTGGGCTTAGGCTTTATTGCTTCCAACTGAAAATTTTTGGTGTCATCTCTCAGTGCAGCTAAATCTACAGTGTTACTCTAGTAAAACAAAAAGAAAGGATTTGCCATAAAACTGATCAAACTTTTCTTTGCTTGCACCACCACTGCCTGGATCTCTCTGAGTTTTCAAATATACAAAACACATAATAGCACAATGAATCTGGTATGCCCATTACCACAGACCTTGAAGAGATAAAATTGGACCTTGGCTTCTTATTCTGGGAATTTCTATGAATCTGTAATGATTGTGTAGCCAGCACACTTGTAACAGCATATTAAGAATTGTTCGTTTAGGGACTGGAGAAAGGGCTTGTGTGAGGACAGGAGTTCTAAGCCCTAGAGCCCACTTAAAAGCCAGAAGGCAGGGACAAGGAATAGCCAGGGCAAGCTGGTTAGCTTAACTTGCTGAAGTCTGTGATCTGCAGACTCAGTGAGACTCCACCTCAATAAATAAACAGGGAGAAACTGAGGAAACCACCGACTTCAGCTTTGGGCTTCTGTGTGCAGACCTTCCCATCCACATACTTATAAATATGCATACTCGTGTGCACACCACACACACTCTACGTATACAAGAAAAATATTTATTTGTTAAGTAGACACATGCCTGGTTTCTCCTAGTGCAGCCGGAACCTCTACAGATATAGAGACCTGAATCTCTCCCCAGCTGGCAGGAGTCCCGGGGAGGAGCTGCTAAGACATGTGGGTCCAGGATTCCCACCCTGTACAGGCCCAGTGCCGGAGAGGCTAGCTGGGTGTGGCTGCCCACCGGAGCCCACGGGAAAGTCTTGAAACCTTTGAAGTCTACCCTACCAGTAGCTGGTCTAAAGCTGTTTGCTATAGGTATGGAGAATGCCTAACTCCGTGGCCATTAAGGGATTCTCTCTCTGCCTCTGCAGGAACTCCACTAAGAAGCATTTACGGCACAACTCTCATATGTACAGCTGGCTTTCCATCCTGGAAGAGTTGGTTGGAGAGTGAGATCCTGATTCTAGCCCCGTGAGCCCCCAGGAACTTCCATTTCCCTGGAAAGGAGGCAAAGAAATACACCTGGGCTGTGTGCACTGACTGCCTTAGGGCTGTGACCACTGTTTGCTTAGGAGGTAGCCCTATTTATAACCGGGTCAAGAACCGCAGAGCAGACCAGAGCACCCCAGAGGGCAGGGCTGCCAGCTTTCCATTCTACCGGGGTTCCCACAGAGCCCACTACCCGTGATTTCACAATAGATTTCAGTGTATGCAGTTCTCTAAACCCTTACCCTTGTGCTTCTGTCTCTGTGTCTCTCAGCATCTCTTGTTTCTTATGGGTCTCTGGCCCTTTCTTGTTTCCCAACATCCTTCCCGAGGCCCTGGGGAGCAAAGCTGTGGAGGCAGGGGCCAGTGGGAACACAACAGTGTCCGGTTCTCACCAAGGACAATAAGGGCCGGAAAGGGCTGGAGCCAAAGCCTGGCGCAGACTAGCCCTCCTGCCTGCCCTGGGCGCCCCCAGGTCCCGCCTTGTCCTACTGGTATGCCCTAAATGCCAGGCGCTCTTCATGCTAGTGCCTGTCCCGGGAAAGGGAGACCAGCTCTGCTTACTTGCCTCAATCTCAATGTCCCATTGCCTTCTTGGAGGGTGGTACCAACTTTGACTCTAAGAAGCAAGTCAGGTCAGGGGCCAGAAGCCTCCAGCCAGACTACACTGACTCCGCCCATGTATTATTTACTCCTGTTTCCGGAGTTGGCGGCGGGTGCCTGCGGGTGTCACCGCCACGTGTGTGAACAGGAGGAAACATCTGGCTCCCTCGGTTCTCCAGGGGAGTGCCCCTCTCTCCCTCAGGTCTACTGCCTCCCGGGTGGAGCAGAGTCCCAGGTTCCTTCGCCTCTTTCACCTTCAGGTCTTGGAAGCCACCATGTCCTCAGGCCCCTTTATGTAAAGATTATGATTAGAGGCCTTGATATCCCTGCCAGGGTTAATTAGAAGGTCAGGCGTGTATAGGCTACAACTAGACACACAGATAGGCTGAGTATGAAGCTGCTATTGGCGCCGATCTGCCTTGTAAACCCCCCAATTCCTGAGTAATGGGTCATTATCCCCAAGGGACATGCTGCTCCTGGCTCTACATAGTAGGTGGTAGCAGGTGCCCAGGTCCCTTAGCACTGCTCTGTCACCTGTCCTCTGCTCTTCCCCTCACTCCCCTAGTGATGCTATCTGCCTGGCTCCACCCAAGCCAACCTTCTAGAAGACTCTGGACTGAGGAGGCCTTATCCCCAGGCTATATGCGCCCTACCCTGCTACCACTTCAGCTAGGGAGAAAGTCAGTCTGACAGTAAGCTCTAGAACCAACCAACTTCCCATAGATGGGGGGGGGGGGCTATTATGGACAACCCCCTCCATTCCTCAGAGGGCCCTACATATCACTTCTTTTTGTCTTGAGACAGGGTTCTCTGTGTAGCCTTGGTTGTCCTGGACTCGACTTGCAGAACAGGCTGGCTTCTAATGCCTCTGCCTCTGTCGAGTGCTGGCATTAAAGGCATGCTCTACCATGCCTGGCTCAGACTTCTCTTACTTTCCTGCAACCTCACTAGGTGAGCCTGGAGCCTGGAACCACCACCCTCAGGAAGACTGTGATCTCTACTGGAAACTCTGACCTATTCCCAGACCAAGAATTGGATGCAAGGCTTCTACCCACCCAGCAGGGTGCCTGGCCCCTTGGGTTCCCAAGGTTGGCTTCCGAAGAACTAGCGCAGCCCTTGCCCTTTAGGACCAATCTGCCAGGAGAGTTCTGCCTGAGTGTCCAGGATAGATGAACTCACAGTGCCCTCTGCAGGCATTTTGCATAAACTGCACATTCTTCCTCTTCTGTCTGGGGCGAAGACAGGGCACAGTGTGGCTTCTATACCAGAACTCCTTTGACTCTTTTATTCATCTTTACTGAACCTTATTCCCTAGCTATTAGGTGCCTCTAATCTGTAGAATTTTGTTCTAGAAGGGTTGAAGGATAAGTTCTTTCGTTCAACCAACCTACCAACCTACTTCCCATAATTGGGCACTACTGAGCATACAGAAATGACCAACATGGGTATTCCCTGAAGCCTACAGTATCCACCAGGAGAGGAGATACAACCAGTCTGGACAGAGCTGCTTCTGGTGACAGTACAGAACAGGATCTGGGGGCCACCTGCCTCATTTCCATCAAGACTGGCTGAGACTGTGGGATGGCTGTTCTTTAATATACTCTTGAGAACATATGAATTTCCTAATATCTTGGATACAAGATGGGGAGAGAAAAATCACAAGAGCAGAGGCAAGGGTTCATGACTGACCTAGGACCTTATCCACACAGGCGCTTTGTCCATGCTAGAGTGGAACAGATGGACATTTGTAGGGACTCCCACCTTGACCTTGCTGCAAAAGGCTCTTTTGCTCAGGGTAAGAACAAAAGTTCACTTTTGAGGATGGGGAGCCGGAGTAACAGTACCAGGTGGAACCCCATGATCTAGAATTTAAGGGGTCCACTTCCACTGCAAGATCGTTTCTGGTTTTGGAGAATGATACAGGGTACCTGCCGCACTCTCGTAGCCTCTGCACATGTGGACCCACATATATGTACACATTCATACACATACACAACAGTTAACAACAATAATAAATTCTGCTCTGGTTCTGAAAGGCAGCCCTTCCTGTATTCCACTCTTGACCTTTAACCTTCTTCCCACAGGTCCGTGGATCATTTTTGCACTTCCAAGCTCAGGCCCCAGCAGATGAGGGATACAACTTATCACAGCTTGCAGACAGAACTACAAAGAATCCACTTTATTTGTCACTCAGGGTTGGTTTCTCTTCTTGCCCTTGCCAGTGACTTTGGCTGGCGTGAGGACTGGAGCTGTTGCCTGGTACAGAGTGGAGGATATCTTGTTGATGTAGTACAGACCGACCATGGAGAAGATGAAGCTACAGGGTGAAAACAAGTCATTACACCACGCTGCTAGCAGAGCAGACAACGGCTTCAGGGAAAAAATCCAGGTTCACAGTTGGGAAACTAGGAGAATGAAAATGGGAACACAGAGGAGGAGGTACGTGGTGGGAGGGAAGACACTGGCAACATCACAGGAGGATCTGGTGTGGCATCACTGTACCTTGCCCAACTGTCAGATACATACCACGTGGTGACACAGACGCGGTGGATGAGGCCAGATGCAAAGAGGGCCAACAACAAGCAGAGGAGAACTGGGGAGGTGAGAACAAGGCGAGTCAGCGGGTGTTCAAAAGAGAAATAGAGAACCAGGAGCAATCATCTAGAGCCCTTATGAGGAAGCTGCTTAAAAGGTATGTCCTCCTGGGCATAGTGGCATAAGCCTCTAATCCCAGCATCTGGGGCAGAGGCAGGCAGATCTCTGTGAGTTCAAGGCCAGCCTGGTCTACAGAGCCAGTTCTAGGATAGCCAAGGCTACACAGAGAAACCCTATCTAGAAAAACAATAAAACCAAACAAAAGGTTATGTCTTGATAAAAGCAGACTTTAGATGGCCTTAACATTGTTTGGAACACACAGGTAAGATATAAATAGGGTTTTGTTTGTTTTGTTTTACTAGCTTTGCTCCACATCTCATTTAACTTCTGCCGCCTCCCCCCACACACAAGGAAGCTGAATATAGTGGTATATGTATATACAGCAAGCTAGGCAGGAGGCTGAGGCAGGAGGATTGCTTAAGGCCATCCTGGGCAACATAGTGAGATCCTGACTCAAAAGTAAGTTAATAAAAAAAAAAAAAAAAAACATTTGGGTTTGAGGAACAGGCTTGTTCCCATTATTTAGGGCAGAGGACTAAGACCTCTAATGACAGGGGGACAGGATGGAAAGGCAAAGAAGTTCCACTTTTCCAGCTGCAATCAGCAGGGAAGAAAGTTGTTCTGTTTTTTTGTTTCTGTTTTTAAGACAGGCCTCACAGTGTAACCCCGGCTGTCCTGAAACTCTGTAGACCGGGCTGGGATTAAGAGACTTAGCCACCACTGCCTGGCTGAAAGACAAGAATTTTGTCCCTCAACAATTTCATTCCAAAAATAAAAGACAGTACACATGGAACAAAAGGGTAAGAGTCAGAAGTTCTGCTAGTGCTGGGTGGAAGTCCTGGAACCTGCTACAGGGCTGTGAGAACAGCAAAACCTGGAGGAGGGCGAGGAAATGTGGCAGGCTTTGGTGTTCCTGGGTGAGTCTTTCACAAGGTAACAGCTGCTGTGAGCTTCTGAGCTTCTGACTTTCCTCAGGTGGTTTGGTCCTGATGCTTACTTTGCTTTATGAACTTACTTCTCTATAAATGAGTAGAACATCAGATCTCTATATGAAGCAATTTACAAGGATTATTACATACAAAAACTGATCTATCAGGGCTGCAGATGCGGCTCGGCTGGTGGAGTCGGGGTTTGACACTCAGTTCGACATACACTATATGAGGTGGTGCTAATCCCAGGACAGGAGGATCAGCAGTTCAAGGGTTCACAGTCATCCTCGGCTACATAGTAAGTTCAAGGCCAGTCTGGGCTTCAGAGGGGAGAAGGAGAGAAGAGGAAAAGAGAAACAAAGAGAGAGCTCTAACAGTCCTTCTCTATTGTCAGGGGGCCTGCTATCATGCCAGTGATTATAAATTTCACAATCACCTCAAGCAGAAGTCAGTAGTGCTAGCTCAAGCTCACATCATGATCCCTCAGTGGACGTGGTCTTGCTTTCAAACATGCCTATCAAACATCCGCTCAGATTTGACTGTTTGCTTGGAACCCTTCCTGGAAGGAAGCCACATTTTCCTTTTTCTTCTTTTTGTGCCTCTCTTCCAGCTCCGATGTCAAGAGCCGGATAAAATGCTTAATCCAAAAGCATCTTCTGTCCTCAAGACAGTTTTCTCCTTTGCCATCTAAGTACCAGGAAATTCAGCACCATGCTTGGGGAAGGTTTAAAAAACGAGTTCAATCAACGCTTTAGTTTCACTTACTCTCAGGGAAGATCTTTGCTTGGAAACCTTTACCAAAGACCAGATTCTCCAGATTATTGAAGGCCTGGATTGAGGAAATTAAGGAAAAACTAGTGCAACAAGTCAAGGCTGGAGGGTAAGCGACACAAAACCCGCCTCTGGGAAGTAGGAGAAACGCAAGTGCCTCGCCTCCCATTACCCCCTCCCCAACCCAGCTTCTGTTCAAACATATCCCCCACTTCCTGGCGCGGGGAGGATACAGTCAGGGAGAAGACGAAAAGGCCAGAGCCCAGCAGGCCCCCCTGAATTGTCAGCCACTCGGTGGAGGCCAGCTGGCGGCTGTATATCTGCATGCCAGCAAACAGCAGCAGGGACAGGAGGGAGGACAGCGCCAAGGAGGTTCCGGTACCAACCACTGGAGATGACAGAATCAGGCTAAGCTTCAGGCAGGTTCACTCCAGAGCTCGGCCTGCCAACCACTTCCTAGCGCTCCCAGCATTGCAGCCACACTCCATATGCCTTACCCCACAGCGACCCCCAAGAACGCCTCCCCCCAGGCCCCGATCCCGCACATCCAAGTTCCCGCCTGTCCGGAGGAATTATTAGTTTCTCAGAAATCAGGACACGTCAGCTTTAACAAGGCTACCGAGAAAAGAGGGCCACCGCGACGCCCACCCCGCCAGAACTGCCCGGGCATTCCGCCGGCCGGGTTACCCATCACGCCCGGTCCGTAGGTCCAACCCGTGCCTCTGGAGAAAGAGGGGAGCCAAACCCGGCGCGATTGTCTATACGCAGGCGTCGGCGCCCAACGTAGACTTGCTTTACTGCTTCCTCTGCCTGCCTTGTGCACAGCGCCCTCTTGCGGCAAGGAGGAAATAATGCTTTCACGAGTATTCTAGGCCGCCGCCCTGCTTGTCTCCAACCTTCATACCCAGGGCATCCTCTCTGAACAAGCTGCACTCAGGTCTTTCAGTCATGACCCCATGCCCTAGAGTCACCTATGTCTTCTTTGCTATTTATGGCATCTCTAATACAAGTTCCCCAGACCTCCCTGCCCCATTCTGATTGCCTCAACATCTCCCGAAGCTATGCCCCACCCAAGATGTAGCGCTCTCCACCTGGAGTTCATCTTCCTCTGAAAACGGCCTCTTGATTTATGTGAGTTTGTGACTAGGGATCGACGCAAGGTTCTCATAGAAGGAATGGTTCCTCCCTCAAATACCCTTCCATGTTATCCACCCCCTAGACCGCCTTTGGAAACCCACGTGGGAAGAACTATTTCCCACCCCCTACCTCGACGGGCGCAGTTCGAGGCTGGTCCCTGGAGCATGCGCAGTGAAATCTCACCCTCCTCACCCCTCCCTATACCCCACCCGGCTCCTGCGTTAAGCCCCGGGTTCGCAGGAGCAGCCAGGATCGGGCACCCGGGGGCGGGCGGGCACAGTAGGGCCATGGCTGAGGGTGAGGATATGCAGACCTTCACTTCCATCATGGATGCACTAGTCCGCATCAGTGTGAGTTAAGGTGGGGTCAAGGGGAAGGGAGGGAATGTCGAGGGGTCGGGGCAAGCCAGATCCTTGAACAGGTGGGGGTCCAGGAAGAATCTAAAGCGTAGAGGTGGAACTAGTTAAGACAGAAATGACTAGGAAGGCGGCGATGCGAGTGTGCAGGGATCATGGGGACGGCCGAGTGGTGAGTGAAGGAAAGACTCCCGTTTGCTGAGGTGTAGGCTTGGGGTAGCGGCCAGCAGCGCACCAGGGCTATGTGTGAGCTTGGATGTTTTCCAAGAAACTGAGGACAGGTCGAGTGGGAGGTGATGAAAAAGCCACTCCAGGGTGCAGTTCCCAATTTGGACCCCTCCCGACCCCCTACCCTACCGCTCTCCCCGCACCCCCCCCCCCCGCGAGCTGCCGTGCAGCCTGTGGTTGCCATGGTAACCCGTGCCTGTCTCTCCCAGAGGCGGTGCCAACCCTGCTCCCCCCCCCACCATTTCCTTCCCCCTCCCTCCCTGTCCCTCCCTCCTTTGTGTCAGCTGCGCCCCTGACCGGGATGGCTGCGAAGAGAGGGACCAAGGTGAGGTGTGGGGGTGGGGAATAGCCTGAAGACCCCTTACCAAAAGGGGAAGGGATACTTCCGGTGGGGAGGGGGCAAGTAGGCGGGGCGCTTCCCCCTCCCTCGCCCCCAGATTGGGCCGAGGGCTGCAAGCAGGCTGAGTTTCTCCACCAGAATGGGCCGGAGAGTATAGGTGGCAGAGAGTAATAGGATGATTTGGAAAGACTGGAAGAAATACAAGTGAAGAATGGAGGATGGGTGGTGGGGCGGCCGCAGGCCAGTGCCCAGCTGGTTAGGAAAGCTAGCGCACCCTGGCCGCGGGGAGCAGTCAAGCGTCTAAGGGTTGCTAGAGGAGGGGGGAGGTGCCGCGCGGAGCTGTAGAATGGGTGGTGCCCTTGAAATAAATGCATGGAGCAGTCTGCTAATCCAGAGAGGAAAGGATGGAGACAGGTGAGGAGGCAGTTCTGCCTGCCAGCATTGCTGCATCAGGAGTGATGGGGGTGGGGCGCGACGCTGGGGGTGGCCAGAGCTCCAACCATACCTTCTTGTTGGACCTTAAGTACTCCCTTGGAGATTAGAGAACTGGAAAGGTGTCTGAACCAAACAAGGCAGGTGCTGGGCTAAAGCAGTAGGTAGCTTGTGTTGCCCTTCCTGGCAGCCAAGGGACCGGCTGAGATATTCCCAAGTGTCCTAGCTCTCACACAACCTCCTTGTTCCTCCACAGACAAGCATGAAGAACATGGAGAAGGAACTGCTGTGTCCAGTGTGCCAAGAGATGTACAAGCAGCCACTAGTGCTGCCTTGTACCCACAACGTGTGCCAGGCCTGTGCCAGAGAGGTTTTGGGCCAGCAAGGGTACATAGGCCATGGTGGGGACCCCAGTTCAGAGCCCACTTCTCCTGCTTCGACCCCTTCTACCCGCAGCCCTCGCCTCTCTCGGAGAACTCTACCCAAGCCAGACCGCTTGGACCGGCTCCTTAAGTCAGGTGGGGCTTGGGGCTAGGGCCTGTGGCTTGGGGTGGGAATGTAGAAAGATGGAAAGGGTCAGGGGCATCTGTGTGCCATGCTGGGGTGTAGCTACTTACCGCTTATCTGAATTCTAATGAGAGCTGAGCTCTGGTGAAATAAAATTCCACTTTTTAATTGAACAGATGTCATCCACCCCCAGCCAGCTGTAATTCTCACCTCTACCTCCTGGGTCCATCCACAGGCTTTGGGACATACCCCGGGCGGAAGCGGGGTGCCTTGCACTCCCAGACAATCATATTCCCGTGCCCAGCCTGCCAGGGCGATGTGGAGCTGGGGGAGAGGGGCCTTTCCGGGCTTTTCCGAAATCTGACCCTAGAGCGAGTGGTGGAGAGGTACCGGCAGAGTGTGAGTGTGGGAGGCGCCATCCTGTGCCAGTTGTGCAAGCCCCCACCACTAGAGGCTACCAAGGGTTGCACAGAGTGCCGGGCTACCTTCTGCAATGAATGCTTCAAGCTCTTCCACCCCTGGGGCACTCAGAAGGCCCAGCACGAGCCCACTCTGCCCACCCTCTCATTCCGTCCCAAGGTGAGCCAGTTCTTGCAGGGTCTGAGGTGGGAGGGCATGGTGGGGCTGAACCACTGGTTGGGGGTGGCTGGCATTTGGGCTTCCAATAGGTGGTAGACAAGCTTGTATTTTTGTCTGTGTGTATATTTTTGAGTGTGTATGTAGATGTGTGTGTGACAGGGTCTTAGAGCTGAAGAGATGGCCCTGTTATTAAGAGCTCTTCCAGAGAATCCCAGTTTGTCTCCCTGTAGTTCCAGCTCCAGAGGATACAACACCTCTGGCCTTTTCAGGCACCTGCACTTACATGCACCTTTCCATACACAGACACTCTCACACATACACATAATTCCAAATAAAACATTAAGAAAAAAAAAAAAAAAAAAAGACAGCTTTGCCATAGCCCAGGCTGGCCTTGAACTCATGACAATTTCCTTGCCTCAGTTTCCTGAGTACTGTAATTACACAGATGCACCATCATGTCTGGATGCTGAGCAACCCCCATCTCTAACATTCACTGAACAAACGGTTCAGCATCTCTGGGTCTCTCTCCTCCTTTGCTGCATAGAGATGAGAGAATCTACTATATCTATACCTGCAGGGCTGTTGAGAGGATCACAGGAGATGTTTGCCTGCACAAGTGTTATCTGGCCAAGCATGGTGGCACATGCCTGACTTCCCAGAACTTGCAAGGGTGAATAAAGAGACTTGGAAGTTGGTGGCCAGCCTGGACTATATAGGAAAACTCCATTCCTCCCCTCAAAAAAAAAAAAAGTTGTTTATATGCGGGACGCTATCCTAGGAATTGGGTACAACGGCGAACAAAGATGAGCTACAGGATTACATTAATCACCATTGTTTTGTTGTTACTATACGGAATATGAAGGCAGGAACAGTGCGAGGTCAGTGCTTGGACTGGTCCTCAGTGCTTTAATGCCAGATGTTCACCGCTGGGCCGTGTATGGAGCACCACCTGCTTTTTCTGATTCCCCCACATCTGGCTGCTGGAGAGGGGGCAACCAGGTGCTGGTAGGGCAGCACCCTTATGCACAGAATGCTGACTGTTTCATTATCCTTTGTATCCCTAGGGTCTGATGTGTCCAGACCACAAGGAAGAGGTGACCCACTACTGTAAGACATGTCAACGGCTGGTGTGCCAGCTCTGCAGAGTTCGACGCACCCACAGTGGGCACAAGATCACACCAGTGCTCAGTGCCTACCAAGCCCTCAAGGTAGAGACCACTATGTACTCAGCTCCAGCACTAACTTGCACCCTCCCCACACCTGATTCCCTGCTTCCTGCAGAGCCAGGGTGATGCCCTCCTCTTTCTTTGCCCCTAGGATAAGCTGACAAAGAGTCTGACATACATCTTGGGAAACCAGGACACAGTGCAGACCCAGATCTGTGAGCTGGAGGAGACCATCAGGCACACTGAGGTGAGTGAGACGGGATCCTTGGATCCTGCTTGGCTGGGTGTGACCCATTGCCCTGCTGCCAGTTCCAAGCCCACAGGGGGATGTGTGTGGGCAGAGGCTCTGATTAAACTTCATTGGCAAAAACACCAGTATCCTGGGTTAGGGTGGAGCTGGGGGTGCAGGGAGGATAGGAAGGTTATAGCTAGGGCTACTGAGCTCAGATGTGCTCAGGTTCAGCATAGCATGGACACACCCTGAAGCTAGGGGTGGGGAACAAACAGCTTCTGCTAGGTCGTCTGAATTAACTGGCATGGGGCTGGATAATAACGATGGTACAGCCACCGGTGTGCCATAGCTAGCGCGGTCCAAAAATGAACGTTAGTGCAGCCGTGGCCTTTCTTATTTGGATGAGACATTAAGAGATTAATGGGCTTGGTGGGGCATGCCTCCCAGCACCTGGGGAGGCAGAGGCAGGCGGAGCTCTGTGAGTCTGAGGCCAGGCTGGTCTACAAAGTGAGTCTAGGACAGCCAAAGCTACATAGAGAAACCATGTCTCAAAATAAAATTTTAAATTAAAAAACAGAGAGAGAGAGAGAAAATTTAAGACTATGAAAGAGCTAAGGCGAAATATGACCAATTAGTATAACTGTGATTTCAAGTTGCAATCACTTGAGGAATTACAGATTCGGAAAGGCCCAGTTACTGCATTTTCTGACTTGTATCAAATATATAAGGACTTTTTGGAAAAGGCTCTCCTTCACACACTGAGGTCCCAGAGCAATCTAACCAACCATGGAAAGTAGCCCTTATCTAGTTTTTA